TGCGAAAAATATTATTAAAATGTTTAAAACGAATTGAATTTCTGTAAAAAATTTTGTTATTTTTCAAAATAATTGAATTCTTCATAAGAATGTTATAAACATTGTTTTAAATAATTAATTTTTTCGAAATATAATAAATTTTATGAAAATTTTATTTTAAATAAGTGAATTCTTGTGGAAAACTTTATTTGTAAAAATAATTGAATTCTTGCGAAAAATTATCCAAAAATTTTTTTAAATAATTGAATTATTTCAAAGAATTTTATAAAAGATTTTCGAATTGTTTCTAAGAAGAGTTTTATAAAAATTGAGAATTTTTTTTTACTTCAACTACTAGTGGATTTAAAGTAGTGCCAATTTAAAAAAAAAACTAGATAAAAGTAGCTTATAGTGTCACAAATGTAAAAAATGTAATGCAATGTAAAAAAAATATCAAAATATTATTTAATCTTAAAAAAAAACAATTAAAAAATCTCCAAGCACTAAAAATTAAAGATAATTAAAATTTATTAATATTACACAAATTTTTCTTTTATTTTTATTACACCTACAATTTTCTCATTTTTTTCTACAAAAAAAAAGTTGAAAAAGTTTCAGTACCAAAAGAACAAGGTAGCAATAGTTATTTAATCAACAAAACCGCAGAAGAATTAAACTAAATGACGTGTTAATTGAACTTTACAGGTGAATTCACAAGTTATTCAAATAAGAAATAATCCTCAAAATAGAATATAATATATAAATGTTGAAGATGAAAGTAAGGGGAAAAAATATATAAAATATAAAGAATTGTCTTTCACATATGTGTCGATAAAAGTTCTCCCTCGAAAATAGAAGCTAATAGATGGAATTTAAAAATTTATATGACCTAGTCGACTATACTTTATAATAAAGAAGTTAGAGGGTTGAAAGAACAAGAATATTATATATGTGGAGTGCATTGAACCTGAAAAAAAGAACTTTTTACATTTCAAATCAGTTTAAAAGAACTTCATTTTCGACATTTTTTCTGCTTTTATTTTACGTTTTCTTAGTTGCAAGTCATTATTGAGAATCCTTCAATGGAAAATCAGGAAAAATTAAAATAGAAAAATATTTCTACTTACAAAAGTTAATTTTAAATTATGAAATTTTTAAAGAAATAAATTTTCACGTTAATAACTTATTAGATTAAAAAACTATTAAGTTACTAAATTTTAAGATTAAAAAATAATTCAATTACTAAATATTAAGATTAAAAAATTTTCATTTTCGACAATTTTTTTCTTTTATTTTAATTTTTCTTTGATTTTACGTTTAATTTTTAAGTTAATAAATAATAATGTTTAAAAATGATTAATTTACTGAATTTTAAAATTAAATTAAATTATTAAGTTTCATACTTCGAAAAATTTTTAAATCATTAAATTCTTAGAATAAAAAATCTCTAAAGTAATTAATTTAATTAAAAATTTTTTAAAATATGTTTAATTAGTAGATGTTATTAATTAAATTATTACGTTACTATTATTAGAAGATATTAAAATATAATTGGTAATATTATCGATATTTTCAATACAGTATATATATATACTGGAAACAGTTGTATTACAACGAGTCTGTCGATAAGATAATGAACATTTTTTTTTATCATACTTTTAAACTCTCCTTTCTCTCTTTATGTTTAATTTTATTAATAAAAATTGTCTTCTGAGAATTCATTCAATGAGTAATTTTCTTGAAGGTCGACTCAACACATTGCAACATGATTCTATGAACAATTGATAAAAAAAAATCAATAAAAATGTTGCTGGTATGTCTACAACTGAAAACCTAGACATTCCATTCCATCACTTTAGTTTAGAAAGTTTAGAATAAATAGTGTATGGAAATATTCACCAATTGTTGCCAAGATTGATTTAATTACAGCGAAAAAAAAATTTTTAAATTCAAATAACCGATTTGTTATCTATTGTCAAATAAATATTTACTTGAATCAAATAATTTTTATTATAATCAAATGAATATTTCCTTGAATCGAATCATTTTTATTTCAATCAAAAAATATTTTTTACTTTAATCAAATAATTTTTATTTCAATAGGAAAATATTTAATTTAGTCAAATAAATATTTACTTGAAATCGAATCATTATTAATTTCAAACAAATAAATATTTACTTTAATCAAATATTTTTTATTTCAATCAAAAAATATTTACTTTAATCAAATAAATTTTATTTTAGTCAAATAATTATTTACTTGAATCAAATATTTTTTATTTCAATCAAACAAATACTTTCTTTAGTCAAATAATTTTTATTTTTATTAACTAAATATTTCCTTGAATCGAATCATTATTAATTTCAAACAAATAAATATTTACTTGAATCAAATATTTTTTATTTCAATCAAAAAATATTTACTTTAATCAAATAAATATTTACTTGAATCGAATCATTATTATTTCAATCGAAAAATATTTAGTTTAATCAAATATTTTTTATTTCAATCTACAAATATTTACTTTAATAAATAAATATTTATTTCAATCGAATCATTATTATTCCAATTAAAAAAAATTTCGTTAAGGGCATTTGAACCATGATGACGTCACAGCCTTAAAACACATGCTTTGCAGAACCTATGACGTCATAATGGTTCAAATGCCCTTAATCAAATAATTTTTATTTCAATCAAAAAATAATTACATTTTTCGACGAATTTAATTAAAATTGTATTAAAAATAATTGAAATTCTGCAACGAGTTTTATTATTTATAAAAATAATTGAATTCCTAAAAAGAATTTTATGATTTACGAAAATAATTAAATGATTGCGAAGAAATATATAAAAAATTTGTAAATAATAATTGAATTCCTGTGAAATTTTTATTATTTTACGAAAATAATGAAAGGTTTGCGTAGAATTTTATTAAATTTTTTTTAAATAATTGAATTCTTTAGGAAAATTTTTAAAAAATAGTAAATATTGAAATTCATTGAATTGAGAAAAGTTTTTAAAAATAATTGAAATTTTTGTCAAAAATTTGTTTATAATTTTTTGAAAATAATTGAATTTTGGAGAAAAATTCTAATATTTCTAAACATAATTGAAATTTTTACGAGAATTTATAAATTTTTTTAAACACAATTGAATGTGTGCGAAGTATTTCGTTACTTTTGAAAATAATTGAATTTTGAAGAAGAATTTTTCTATTTATAAAAATAATTGAAATTTTAACAAGAATGTTATTAATATTTTTGAAAATAATTGAATTTTTGAAAAGAATTTTATTATTTATAAAAATAATTGAAATTCTTGCCAAAAATTTTATTATAATTTATGAAAATAATTGAATTTTGGAGAAGAATTTTTCTATTTATAAAAATAATTGAAATTTTAACAAGAATGTTATTGAAATTTTTGAAAATAATTGAATTTTGGAGAAGAATTTTATTATTTACAAAAATAATTGAAATTTTAACAAGAATGTTATTAAAATTTATGAAAATAATTGAATTTTGGAGAAAAATTTTGTTATTTATAAAAATAATTGAAATTTTTGCCAAAAATTTTATTATAATTTTTGAAAATAATTGAATTTTGGAGATAAATTCTAATACTTCAAAATATAATTTAAATTTGGACGAGAATTTTTAAAATATTTTGAACATAATTGAATGTGTGCGAAGAATTTTATTATCATTTATAAAAATAATTACAATTTTTGACAAAAAATATTTACTTTAATCAAATAATTTTTATTTTAATCAAATAAATGTTTATTTGAATCGAATCATTATTATTTCAATCAAAAAATATTTACTTTAATCAAATAATTTTTATTTCAATCGAAAAATATTTACTTTAGTCAAATAAATATTAACTTGAATCAAATATTTTTTATTTCAATTAAATAAATATTTACTTTCGAATCAAATATTTTTTATTTCAGTCAAACAAATATTTACTTGAATCAAATAATTTTTATTTCAATGAAACAAATATTTACACGAATAAAATAATGTTTACTTTAGTTAACTAAATATTTACTTGAATGAAATAATTTTTTTTTACACAAACAAATATTTTCTTGAATCAAATAATTTTTTTTACACAAATAAATATTTACTTGAACAAAAATAATTTTTATTTCAATCAAATAAAAAAATGGAACAAATTAGATGAAATAACATTTTGGAGAATATTTATGCGCCTCACTAATTGTGAAAAATGTTAATTACCTTGTCGAGACGAAGGGGAGAGGGAGATGATAATAAAAGAGAGAGAAAAAAAGTTTCAAAGATAGATGTTTCTTCGAGATGACTTATCTTAGTGCGCTAGTGGATTTTAAAGCCGAAAAATGTACCGTACTATGCTCATTAAGTAAATTATTCTTTTGTCTTGTCTGCCTCTTTCTAGTCTACTTATTCCATTCTTTTCTTCTTCATACTTTTCGGTTTTTATTTTTTTTCTTATTTTTATTTTTTACCGCACATTCAATTTTAATGAACAAAGTCAAAAAAAAAAAAAAATGAGCGACTGCAACGAGCTTTCCCAACTTGCCAAGAGAAGGGGCATTCCAAGTGGAATTTTCACCTACAGAATTTTTTTTTTAGAACCAAATTTTTTAATTTGTTTGAAAAAAAATAAAAAATAGGTATTTTTTTATTTTATTATTAAATGAAAATTGTGAAAGTGGTGATATTTTTAAATTACAACTTCTTTAGAAGCCGAGGACTTTTGAGTCACATTTTTAAAAAAGAATTTTCTTCTCTTTCTCTCTCTCTCTCCAAATTTTTTAATTTGTTCGAAAGAAATAAGAAAATAGGTATTTTCTATTTTGTTATTAAATGAAAATTGATTTTTTTAAAATTCGGCTTCTAAGGAATTCGAACATTAAAAAGATCTCAAATTCCACAATTTTTATTTAATAAAAAAAATAAAAAAACACGTCTCTTCTTATTTTTTATACAGAATTCGAAAAAAAATTTTCCTACAAAAATAAATTTTCAATGAAAATTTCTCCTGGAATGCCCCAAGGGTAAAATTAGAGTATTTTATAATTTTTTTGAACTATTATCTTTTTTTGTCTATTTGATAATTTTTTTTTTTGTTTTTTTTTTTTAATGATTTAATGGATTTAGAGTACTCACCGGCGTAGCAGGATGACGATAGTGATCCTCGAGGAGGAGTCGTCGTTGATTTGATGTGAGTGTCTCCTCGCGATGATGATGATGATGGTGATGATGTAAAATCGATATCGAGGCAGGTCGGTGATGTAGATGATGGGAAACCGTGGCCAGGACACCTACGAGTGCCCCGACTACGAGGACAAGCACCACCACTATATACCCGCTTACGTTCACTGGAAAATAAAAGAAAAAAATTATAAACATTAAATTACTTTTTTCATTACCAACGGAAACATATTATTTACTGATAATATCTCCTTCTACCGGCTCTAATATTATCGAAACTATACATTGTATATCGTCTCTCTCTCTCAAAGAAAAAAAAAAAATGTCAACGACAAAAAATCAAGAATTTCTTGCAGGAATTTCTTGCACTAAAAATTATTTTTAAATAAAATTTTATTAAAATTCAACTTCTTTAGAAGCCGAGGATTTTTTAATCACTTTCTTAAAAAAAAGAATTTTCTCTCTCTCTCTCTCCAAATTTTTTAAATAAAAAATTTAAATTTAAATTTAAATTAAAATTTAAATTAAATTAAAATTTAATTAATTAATTAATTAATTAAACTAAATTAAAATTTTTTTTATTTAAAAAAATAAAAGAATAGGAATTTTTTATTTGGTTATTAAATGAAAATTGATTTTTTTAAATTCACCTTCCTTAGAAGCTGAGGGCTTTTGAATCACGTTTTTGAAAAAAAAACGTGATTCAAAAGTCCTCGGCTTCAAACGACAAGGCTATTTCGCAAAATGACAAAAACTTGAAGGTTATTTTAGATAAATACAAAGACGCTAATAATTGTACTTTAGACAATAACAAAAATAGATATATACATTTCATTCCTACAAATTTTTTCAACAACTACAATATTTCTGTAACCAAATATAGATTTAAAGAAACAATCGATTTATTTATTTATTTAGCAAATCGATTTATTTAAATAAATATTTCTGCGGGTATTTTACGTTATGCAAAGAGTTAAAAAATTGAAAAAAAAACAAATGAAATTAAAAAATAGAGAAGCAGGACACTTTTGATACTATACAAGAATATAGAAAACTTTTAAAGAACTAGAAACATAAAGATAAGACGACAAGATTAGAGAATCAGATATGCAATTTTTCCAGACATATATACGTGCGCATTACAGTCGTCCATTTTTCTTTAAAGTCTAATTTCATCATATTGCACTTCTTATCAACATTTTATAGTAAAAAAAGATTGCTAAACAGGAACAATTTTCAGGATAAGAACTCAAATAACTGTTTTTGAAATTTTCTTCTCTGTAATAAAAATTAATTTTGAAAAAGTTTATACGTGAATTATAAAACATTAACAGGGGGCGAACCAGTGAAATTATTTGAAAATAACGGACTCAACGGACTAAAAATGAAAAATTACGGACCAATTACTGACAAAAATATAACCATAGTCTGAAAGTCAAATAATTTTACTTAAAATTACAAATTAAATTTTTCTATAAAACATGAATTTTTAAATCCATTTCTTTACAATATTCAATTATTATCTAAAATTTTAACTGAAACTCATTTTTAAATCAATTTTTATTAGAAAATTCTACTACAAATTAATTAAATTATTTAAATACAAAAATAAATAATTTATTGAATAATTGAATGTTTCTTAAAATTAAATTCCCATAATGAATTTTATCAACAAATTTTTAAGTAATTGAATTCTATCGACGAATTTTAATAAAATTTTTAAGAATAATTACATTTTTTGGAGGAATTCGATTAAAATTGTATTAAAAATAATTGAAATTCTGCGATGAGTTTTATTATTTGTGAAAATAATTGAATCCCTAAGAAGAATTTTCATATTTTTGAATAATATTTAATTTTTATAATATTATTACACTTGAAAATAATTGAATTTCTGCAATAATTTCTAACTTTTCCAAAATTAAATTTTTTTTTTCGTGTTTTTAACTATAATTCTTCTATAAATGCATTATTTTTAATAATTTTTGAAAAAATTCTTTGAGAATTTTCAAATTCATTTATATACAATTCAATTTTACAAAATTTCAATTATTCGTCAATTTTTTAATTAAATATATGTTAGAAAATAAAAACTTGAAATAATTTTTTAAAAAAAATCAGCAATTAAACTTTCTCAAAAAATTAATTCCAGTTAAAATTATAAAAAATTAAAATTCTGAAAGATTTTAATTTAAAACATTTTTAAAATTTAATTATTTCTAAATATTCACGCTATATTGCTTTTATTATTCAATTACTATCGAAAATTTTAATTGATATTAATTTTTAAATCAATTTTTATTAGAAAATTCTACTAGAAATCAATTATTTACATACAAAAAAAAAATTTATTGAATAATTGCTTATTTCTTAAAATTAAATTCTTATAAAGAATTTTATCAATAAATTTTTAAATAATTCAATTCTTTTGTCGAATTTTTATAAAATTATAAAAATAATTACATTTTTCAACGAATTTAATTAAAATTGTATTAAAAATAATTGAAATTTTGCAATGAGTTTTATTATTTATGAAAATAATTGAATTCCTAAAAATAATTTTATTATTTACGAAAATAGTTGAATCCGTGTAAAAATTTTATTATTTATGAAAATAATTAAATGATTGCGAAGAAATATCTAAAAAATTTATAAATAATAATGGAATTCCTGTGAAATTTTCATTATTTTATGAAAATAATTAAAGGTTTGCGGAAATTTTTGTAAACTTTTTTTTTAAATAATTGAATTCTTATAGACAATTCTTTTAAAATAGCAAATATTGAAAATCATTGAATTGAGGAAAGTTTTTAAAAATAATTGAAATTTTTGCCAAAAATTTTATTATAATTTTTTGAAAATAATTGAATTTTGGAGAAAAATTCTAATATTTCTAAAGATAATTGAAATTATGACGAGAATTTATAAATTTTTTTGAACACAATTGAATGTGTGCGAAGTATTTCGTTACTTTAGAAAATAATTGAATTTTGGAGAATTTTATTATTTACAAAAATAATTGAAATTTTAACAAGAATGTTATCAAAATTTATGAAAATAATTGAATTTTAAAGAAGAATTTTATTATTTACAAAAATAATTGAAATTTTAACAAGAATGTTATTAAAATGTATGAAAATAATTGAATTTTAGAGAAGAATTTTATTATTTATAAAAATAATTGAAATGTTTGCCAAAAATTTTATTATAATTTTTGAAAATAATTAGATTTTTGAGAAAAATTCTAATATTTCTAAAGAAAATTTAAATTTTGACGAGAATTTAAAAAAAATTTCGATCATAATTAAATGTGTGCGAAGTATTTCGTTACTTTTGAAAATAATTGAATTTCGGAGAAGAATTTTATTATTTATAAAGATAATTGAAATTTTGAACAGATTTTTTAAAAAATCTTTAAAAGTAATTGAATTTTGCAGAAGAATTTTGATATTTATAAAAATAATTGGAATTTTGAGAAGAATTTAAAAAAAAATGTTTGAAAATAATTTAATTTTTCTAAAGAATTTTCTTACTTTTGAAGATAATTGAATTTTGCAATGAATTTTATTACTTTTGAAAATAATTGAATTTCTAGGATGAATTTGATTATTTATAAAGATAATTGAAATTTTGACAAGAATTTTATTAAAATTCTTTTGCAAATAATTGAATTTTAGAGAAGAATTTTATTATTCACAAAGATAATTGAAATTTTGAACAGATTTTTTTAAAAGTAATTGAATTTTGCAGAAGAATTTTGATATTTATAAACATAATTGAAATTTTGAGGAGAATTTAAAAAGAATTTTGAAGATAATTGAATTTTTGCGAAGAATTTTATTACTTTTGAAAATAATTGAATTTCAGAGAAGAATTTTATTAAATTTTTTTTAAATAATTGAATTTTGGAGAAGAATTTTATTATTTATAAAAATAATTGTAATTTTCGCCAAAAATTTTATAATAAGTTTTGAAAATAATTGAATTTCTGCAATCATTTGTAATTTCTCTAAAATTCTCCAAATTATATTGTACAATTTGCGAAATTTTTGTCTTTTCTCAATAAAATTACGGTCTTTACGGACCATTTTTTTTAAAAAAACGGACTTTTATGGACTTTAAGCAAATTTACGAACTTTTACTGGATTTACGGATCTAGTTCGAGCCCTGCATTAATTTTCATGGTTAATTTTATAAAAAGAAATTGGTAATTTTTAATTTTTAATAAAAGTTGTCATCGCTAAAATTACGGACAGTTCAGGTTTCATTTTTTAAAGAGTGACAGTTAATTTCGATTTATTTTTCGTATAAATATAAATATAAAAAATGTGAAGCCAATAACATATTTAATAAAAGAAAATAAAGCTAAATATATATTAATATAAAGAAAATATTTACAATTAAGTGATGAAAAATACAATTATCACGCTAGTCACGGCTGAAATGTTATCAATTAGCGAGAGAGAAAAAAAGAGAGAGAGAGATAGAGAGAGATAATAGAAATTGAACGAAACTACCGCTTCCGGATAGTTGTCGATAAAAATAATATAAAACACTTCTTTGACGCGACATATTTACCAAGGTGACATATTGTCGACGTTAAACCGTCTCGCCAATGGAGGTCATCTTTAAATGCGACGTTTTTTTTTCTTTGCCTCACTGGAAAATATATGAGTGTAAAAAAAATAAATTTCTTTACACTCGTGAATATTTGTGTGTGATTCTACCAACAATATACGTGCAATGATAACGATGCCATCACTATATATACATGTATATATGAAAATAGCATTTGTCTTTAAGGTCTTGCACGTTCCTCAAAAAAAAAAAAGAAAAGAAAAAAAGAACTTAAAACTGTGTAAATGTAAAGAAGGAGAGTTTGCACCAAGTTATATGCTTACATTACTCATGAGTCTCTTTTAAAATCGTTAAGAATTCCCCCCATCAGAGCAATTAGTCATATTGGAATATGTTAAATAGTCTTTTAAAAAGGAATTAACACCTATAACGATTTTTGTTTGCTGTTGTTAAATTCATAGCATGATTTTTGTATTCTACTGAATCAATTTTTATTCGGAGTTTACACTTTTTAATTTATTTTGAACTTTTTAATTATAGTACAATTTTAAACTCATAGTAAAATTCTACAGAATTTTACTAGAACAGT